TCTTTTATCATTGAAATCAGTAAAAAAATTTTAATAAATTATAAATAATAAAATATCATTATTTTTTTTAAAAAATGCACTTCTATAATGATATGTCATTTACTATTATATACTATTAAATCTTATCAGTATATGATTATACGGAAGTCTAATACAGCGCAGTGTTTCTCAATTTATAACATTTCAATATCATTTTTTAATGGTAAAACATGAAAATTCCTAAATCAATTGAAATAAAACTTTGTATTACAGAATAATAACATTTTTTTAGTTAAAGATATCAGACTAATTATATCCGAAATCAATTAATCGGTTATTTGGCCAGATTTATTATTATTCGATATTAATATCCGTTAATAATAGATATCCGCTAATAACTTCTTTAATATTTTAATACGAAACAAAACTGAAATTGATTAAACATATCAATTGATATTTGATATTATATTTAACATTTATATACATATATATACTAAGAAAGAAATGTAATTAATTTAAAACTTTTTTGTATTTAAAATATTATATTTTAAAAAAATAAATTTTCAAATTTTATATTGTCTGTAGATTGTCTTTCTATAAATTAAAAATGCATGGGTAAAAATTAACCATAAATAATCGAAAAATCAATTATTAAAAGAAATTTTATTTATAATATGTAATAAATTTTTTAAAGAAATTATAGAGAAAAAAAAGATAGGCTTCTTACATTTTAAATTTTTATACATAAACGAGATATTTTAATGATATTAGAATTTTTGAATTTTTATTTTAATATGCATTTATGAAAAAAATCAAGAATATAAATGTTAAAATTACAATCTTCATATAATTTGGATCATAGATTAATATAATTATAAACAAATATGATGAATTGTATATAAAAAGATATAAAAAAATATAAAAATTGGGAACTGCTGATCCAATTATATGTATTAATTGTTTTCGTTGTTGTTAAAAGGAAGAAAAAATGCTATACGTATATTTGAAAGGAAGTTGAATATATCTTATTTTTCTTTTAAGAATATTATATAATATTTAAAAAATTTGTAAAACATTGTGATCTTAAAAAAGAAATACAGACTATGAAAAAATTTTTAAATATATACATTTATGTCACGAGACACTACTTTTATATTTCACATCAATAAAAAGTGTATTTCTAATATACAAATCAAGCGAAAGACTTCGTGAATTAATGTATGATGCGATGAGATATTCTAAATCACATCTTCATCGTTTCATTTTATAGAAAGTAATTTTATCGATATCTTTTTTCTTTAGAATAAGTATGTCACTTTGAATGAAAGTCAGCTTATATTTTAATAATAGAGATACTTTTTATCAAAAGATCGAATAAAGTCTTCTTTGTGATTTTTTGGCAGACTTAGCTAAATTTATTTATTTTCAAATAATAATTTAAAAATAATTATTTTAAACAATGCTATTATTATTATTATTATTATTATTATTACTATTATTATTATTATTTGATAAGTAATATATCTCAAAAGAAATTATGTTATTTATTTGATTAATTCAAAAAATTTGAAATAAAACATTTGAAAAAATAATAAATTAAAAAATTGAAAATTTATTATTTGAGAAAATAATATTTATTTTCTAATGGGAAGTTCTAAAATAATTATAGAATACGTACTAACAATAAATATAATAATAATTGTAAGCATGTAATAGTGTTACTGTATTAATATTGCAAAGGTAATAATATAAATATAATTTGATTCCGTATATTAAAAAACTACTATTTTCATCCAAAATAAATAACAAACAACATAAAAAATAACCAAATAATTGATTTCGTAAAATGATTTTGTTAATAATAAATTATTTAAAAATTAAATAAAATTATATCATTTAAAAATTGTAAATACATTTATTTACTTTTCATATAATCAAATATTTTATGAAATATTTCAAAAATATATTATTTTATTTCGAAAATAAATTATTTTTCAAATAATTTTAAAAAGTAATTTGAAATTTTTTTAAAACATTTTTTTAATGCGTCTGCAATTTTCTACGTCACTCAATTGTTCCACTATCTACGATTAAAGTCATTCAATCGAAATTATTGCGGGCTATTGCGTCCTAGACATTATAGTGGCAAATATATTGTTTTTTTTATCCTCAATTTTGCAAACATTTATATTAACACATCGATTCTTCATATGAAAAAGATGCTAAGCAGATTTTATTTAACATTTTATTTTCTTGCAATTAAATGATTTATCATTTCATAAAATAGATTAGACATTTGTTATTTGCTGTTGTTATTTCTTATTTGATTAAAAAAAAAGTAATTGATTTCTTAAAATTCTATTATATTTACTTCTATTATTATTATATTTAATGTTCAATACTTGTTTTTAATACTAATTCAGGAATAAATTCAATAAATATTATTTTCTCAAATAATTAGTTTTCCAATTTCTTATTTTCTCAAATATTGCCTTGTCTCGCATTTTTTGAATTGATCAAATAAAAAATAAAATATTAATTGAAATATATTATTTATTAAATAATAATTAACATTAATGAATTAAAATAATTATTTTTAAATTGTTATTTAAAACTTTCTGTTTATGTTTATTTGGAAATATTTATTTCATTAAGAAATAAATATTTCATTAAGAAAGCTAAAATTAAATATTGATAAATTATATAAAGTTTAAGAAATTACATTCGACTAATGTTAGATTTAATAAAAACAATTGATAATTTCGATTTCTTAAATGGTAAATTGCGCTGATTAACCTTAAGCTCGCTCAAGAAACATCAAATTAACTCATTTTATTCTAATTATAAAACTGCCTACGATTAGTATATTCTTCCAAATAATGGTAAAAATATTCGGAGCATATCATTTGAAATTGAAACCATTTTTTACATTGTTCGAAATAACAAATTTGTGTTAATTGTGATAACATTTGTTAATCATATCAGAATGATACTCGAAACGTTTACATTAACATGTAACAAACATTAACATTCACACGTATAAAAATTATTATATAAGATCATAGCAGATTAAAAAAGATAGATTATCAAAAATTGATTAAATCAACTTAAATCTTTTTTATATTATTGTATATCTTTACTATTACTTTATTTTAATTTTTTAATAATAAAAAATAAATATAAGATTTAATAATATAAAAATAATATAAAATTTTAGCAAGATTAATTTATATTTTTCTTATATTTTTACTGTACAATTTTACTGTAACATTGTATTTTATCTTGAGACAGTATATAAGATATTAGTAAGATAATAGTTATAAAAAATAGATATAGTTAGATAAAAGTTATAAAAAATTGATTAAAATTTATTTTTTTTTATAACTTTATGATAATAATATACTGCATACTTTGTATTTTATCTTTAAGTAAATAAATAAATTATATAAAATTTGAGTAAAAGTAAAAAAAATAAATTATCGAAAATAGGTTAAAATTCATATTTCGCTAATATATTTCCCATTTCATGATAATAATTCTATTTTTAAATCGAAAAAAAGAATTTCTGTATTTCTCGGTATATAAGATAAATTTTATATCCGATTGCTATCAAAGAACAATGATAAAAATACAAATAAAACAAAACTATAAAATCTATTGGAATGTAATTTTAGTATAATAGTATTTTAATCAAAATAAACGTTGGGAAACAGCAGTGGCGTAAATGAAGGTATTGACGATTTTGTTCATTTGCTTATGAATTCTAGAACTATTTTCGTTGGTGTTTAGCTTTCCTTTTTTGTGAATTTTATATAACGCTTTTACTTCTGATTCATGCAAATATATCTCGTCCAAGTGTGAATCTTTAATGTATATTCTAATTGTTATTTGCATACAGTGCTACACCACGATGCAATGGATTTGACCGAATTGAATAAGCAATCGGTTACCTTACGGGTCCTCTTATGAATTTTAAATAGTTTCGTGATATTAATAATAATTATTATTAGCATAGCAGTGAAAATGTATGATAAAATATAATTAAAATATAATCATAATTGCTTTTTATTATTTCTAATTTTTTTTATTCTTTATCCTTGATTTTGAAAATGAATTGGTGATATTAAATTTTATAAAATTAATTTTTTTCTATATTATGATATTATGACATTAAAATTGACATTATTTAAAAATTTATTTGACGAATATTAGATAAAGAAAGTTTAGAAACAAGTAAATTGTTGTATTTTCAATAACATTCTAAACATGTTTGTAAGTAGACAATTACTATTGGTTCATCATATCTTAATGTGCATTAAGTTTCAACTTTAATTATTGATATTGTTATCGGATAAAGTATAATATCATATCTTTAGGAATTCTATTTAATATCTATCCCTTATTGTCACTTTAATAAATAAAATTATAATGACAAAAATATTGCATTTTATGTAGATTATTATAAGTAATGTTAAATAATAATATAAAAAATTTAAAAAAAATATTGACATATTAATCAAAATTTTAGGAAGTTTATGTCATACTATTTTCATCAATCGAAATCTTAAGAATCTTAAAATTTTAAAAAATCTTATCTTAAATCTCTTATTATAGCTATTGTTAAATTTCAAACTAAAATTTTTCTATAAAAATTTGTCAATATTTATATTACATTATAAATATTTTCTTAAAAAAGAAAATCCAAATTAAACTATTGCAATAATTTCAAATAAAAATTTTTCTATAAAAATTCTTCAGCATTTACAAGAATTTTCATTGAAAAATTTAATTTTAGCGACTTTAAATTTTCAAAAAATTTTGAATTAAAAATATCAATTATTATTAATATTCTTAGTATAGTATAATATAGTTTTCTATAAAAATCCTTTAATGTTTAAGTTACTAAAATATTTTTCGTATCTTTCTAAGTGAGATTCAAATTTCATTGTGAATCACGAATGCCTAACCTTTTCGTGAATCACCAGCCCAAAAAGACAAAGAAAAGAAAAAAAGAAACTCACTCGACGACAATAGTACCAGTGTGAAGACTAAGAAAGCCATGACAAAAGGCAACTGTCACTTTTCACAAGTGGAAGTTCCCAAAGACTGTCCAAGTTGTACCGGTTCACCGATATATTAACTTCGAAATACGATTACTCTGTTACGGACGGTGGTCGACTGAGCAACTGCCGGCTTGTCGACTATGTTAAATAAGAGACTATACTTTTATTTCGCGATAGCCTATTGACTCTCACACTATGAGGCCCTCCCTCAGCTTTTCGAAGATTTATATATCTCGTATTAAAAAAAAAAACCTATCGATTCTAAACAATTTAATATTACAGATAGCTTAGTAAATGCGATAACGTGAAAGTTAAGAAGAGAATAAAAAGTGATTTCCGATGATTCATTGTCCTTAACTCGATAACTCCCAGTTCCAAAATTTGATACGGATATATTTTATGAAAGTTTATATCATCTTTCTTACATGTTCGATAACTTTATTGTTTAATATATATATATTACTTCTTTTGTTTTAAATTAATAAAATATATAGTTTATAAATATATAGTTTATAAAACATGAATTATGATAGTTTATATTGAAGTTATATATAATACTAGTTTGTTAACTAGAAATTTATTCAGTTCTTTTTACATATAGGTAGTTTATACAGTACATATATATACATATATATGCATATATATATATAATATATAATTTTTATTATATATAATGTATATAATATAATATATATAATGTATAACATATTATTATATTTTTTGTAATTTTTTTTAATTTGAATATTGATTGATTACAATAATTTAATTATACCATAATTACATATAATTTTTTTTCATTGCGAGAATATTACACAGTAATTTAATTATACCATAATTACATATAATTTTTTTTCATTAATATAATATTATGTTAATGGAAACAAAAATATTTCATTAAAAAAAAGAATAGTAAATATGCAAAATATATATATGCAATATATAATATAGATATAATATAAATATAGATATGCAAAATTTTTATACTCATTTTATTTTGTGATCAACATATATGTTTGATTAAGAAGTTTAATATAGATATGCTATTGTGAAAAATATTTATTTCTTTATAATTTAATTTTTTATATTACATATATATTATCATATTTTATGTTTAAAATAAAATAAAAAATATGTTTTATTTTTTTCTCCTTTTTT